AAGAAACCTGGCAAAAAAGGATACAATAAAATCCTTATGCAGAAATGAGATAATAACATTCCAAGGAGTCTTGACCCGACATATAGGTGTTCGTGTGTGCCTGGCCTACATGCCATACATCCATTAGACTGGCCACTCAAGTAAGCCTAATGCCCTGATTTTGGGCCACACAGCACCAAAATGTTCAGTGCTTGTAAAGCCATTCTTGGTATATAAAATTAATAAAACAAAATCACTTTGGATGGCCCATAAAACCAACACCAATGAATTAATGATTTTGCATCTCAAAGCAGTATTAAAAGCCTTTTCCTTTGGTAACACACTCTCGCAACTGATTGAAGCTATGGAGTTCAGTCACACTTATAGTTTATAATAGTCTATGTTGCACATAATAACCTTTCACCAATATATGAGAATGATCATGATAAACAAATATTAAATAGTGCCTCGTCTAAACCTTTTGGGAAAATTTCTGTTACAATAATAAATATTCAATATAAGATATCAAACAAAAAGATATACTCTGGAGACAAACGCTGAGCTGGACCTCACCTTCGTCCGTATCGTGGTGGTCTAGAGAATCTGAATGATCAGGCACTGAGGAGGCCACCGACACAAAAGAGCTTGGTCGGGAGGTGTGTGGAGAGGTGGCAGTAGGAGGGGTGGCAGCCGTGGTGGAAGAGCTGGTGGTGACATCTGAGTGTTGGGTGGGTGTTGATGTCTGGTTCGTTAGAGAGTTTTGCCTCATGTGCAGAAGATGCAGCCGTTCTCTGGAGGCTACAAGCTCTTTGCGCATGCGATCGCGCTCGTCATCACGTTCTGACACTAAATTCTGTGGAGGCAAAACAAAAACATTAATAAAAAAAATATGTTAATTTGATACAATATTTATTCTATTTTAAATTAGTAATCACTCCAGCTCATACTGAGCTTCTAATCAAATAAACTTTGAATTTCTGAAATCAAAATCAAACCTTAAACTATTGGCAAATTCTTTTTTTTATATAAAAAAAAAGGAAGAAAGAAAAGAAAAAAAAGTAAGATAGCATACCAATAAAGACGACAGCTGTTGTGACAAGGATGTAGATATGGCCATAAGCTTTGTCATAGGAGCTTGATACAGGGGTAAACTTGAAAGCTTATTGGCACTATCATTATTGGCTCTTGCAGCTACTATATCCGATTCCCGGATGTTAAGTGCTTCATTGAGCGTTTCTTGCAAACACTTGGCCTGGTACATGGCAGCTAACACTAATTCTCTTGGTTCCTTGTTCCCAACAGCTGGTTCACCAGCCATGTCAGCCACATTCTCAAAGTGCTTGTGCGGAATGTTTAAGATGTCTGCAATGATGTGCTGTTTTTCCTCCAAAGCCTGGCGGATCTTCAGGTCTTTCCGTCGTAGATGTTCTGTGGAGCAAGAACAGCATTTTAACTCCTGTAAAGCCCCCTTGTTTTGTTACACTCTTGAGAGTGATGGGAAAATTATATTCAGTGTGAAGAAAACGAGGAGAGAATAAAATTCCGAGAACAGAAATGGAACTGAAGACAAAAAAAAATTATATCAAAGAAAGCTGTATCATAGAAGCACTTGAAGAGCAGATTTCTTTCTCAATCACAACAAATAGTCCTACTTACCTTCATCAGTCTCAAAACATCTACTTTTAAAAGAACATCAAATTTTGGTAAAAGTTGGAATATTATTAGGATGCCAGCTGTAAGCCCTGAATATCTTGCCCTTGCATCATAAATGTGTTCTTGCATTATAAAGGGGAAAGTACTAGGTTGTCACAAAAGTTTCAATGCATGTGTCCTACATTTTGAACAAACAACTTTGAATAGCTTTAATTATGTAATTCCATTCACAAGTTCTTCCACTTCTCAAAACATTTTTATGTCTAAGAAATGGTAAGACATTTTTTGGGGGAAAATAACTCCAGCATTTCAAAATCCTTGAACCTTTTACCTCCAATCTTTTACCTCCAATCTTGTGCCAAGTATTTATTTGAGGAAACAGCACTGTCTATAGCAAAAAAATTTTATGACCTATTGTCTGGTCCATAACTCATTTACAAACAAACATTTCAATCTATATATTAAATCAAAATAAACACCAGGATTTTTTTTTTAAGAATAAAAATATTTGCTAATACTCAGGAGACGGTTAGTGAAGAAAAATTACATTGCTGACCCATGCCAAGATGCAAATAAGGAAGGCTGCTTATTCCATGCATTTTACAGGCAAAGTAAAGAGAAATATACATTAGCTCTTGTGGGGCAGAATAAACATTATCTTTTCATCTTCTACATTCAAACATGCTGAGAGAAGAAAAATTACATTCTACAAGGCTAAGGCACCTCTATGGCCTTATCTTCACAGTCAAGCTTAAAATCTAATGGTGAATGGTTGGGCTTCCCATTGTAACCAAATCAACTACAACTGCTGGGAGTCTATCTACAAATCACAACAAACATATTATACAGAATTTCAGTCACTTTAATT